ATAAAATGATTTTCTTTAGAAAATTTTCATACCAATTCCTTAGTTTGAGTTCAGACACACCCGAGAGTGTGCCTGAATCCCTCAAACCAAGGCTCTGATACCAACTTGTAACATCCCAAAAATACAGTCTAAAATTTTCATTTTAAGTCATTAATAAAACCATAAATATCATTCATCATATAAAAATCATAAGTCGTGTATCTCAAACATATCATAACATCTGTCAAATATATCAGAGTATAAATATCCCAGGCTGAACAAATGGTGTGTGCACTGCAATCATCCCGAGCTCTTTCCCTTGCTACTGGAAGTACCTGAAACCAAAACTGAAAATTGTAAGCTCGAAGCTTAGTGAGTCTCCCCAAACTACTACATACCATACAAATATTCATGCTACTAGGAGATACGAGCCCCGCCCACACTCAATGAGATACGAGCCCTGCCCACACTCAACTACTATGAGATACGACCCCCGCCCACACTCAGCTACTATAAGATACGAGCCCTTCCCACACTCAGCTACTATGAGATACGGACCCCGCCCACACTCAGCTAGTCATGAAAATACATACAAGTACCACACAGACAACAAGTATAACTAAGCATATAAATTTGTACCATATCAACTATCTATGAGATACGGGCACCGCCCACGCTCAACTATTATGAGATACGCCCCCCCCCCCCCCCCACACACACACACTCAGCTACTGAACATATATACAGGTATCACACAGACAACAAGTATAACTAAATCTATTAATCAGTCATATATCTATTCTCAACTAAAGCTATGAGATACGGGCCCCACCCATACTCGGCTACTATGAGATACGGGCCCCGCCCACACTCGACTACTAATCATACATATGCGGGCCGGCCTTGGTGCCTTCGACCCGTTCTACTGGAGGAAAACTCGCCTCGCACTGCTGAAGTCCCGCAAATAAATCTCGGGCTGCTGGCTGACAGATCCCCAAGTTGTCAACATCAAAACAAAACCCAATTAACCATTTGGGCTTCCTATGCATAACTCTAAAATCCCCACTTGGTGTAAAACGACCATTCTACCCCTAACCTAGCTTGGTCCAAGATTAAGGCCGAAACTCATACTCTAAAGGCCCAAAAGTTAAATAATCAACCAAGGCCCAACTATAGCCCAATTTTCCAAATTGGGCCCAAACCCCTCACATGGTCTCACCTTAAGGCCCAACCATATATTCTGGTCCAAACACTTGCCAATCCAATGGTCCAATATCTCATAATCATCAAGGCCCAGTTATGGCCCATCTATGGCCCAATTTTCCAAATTGGGCCCAAGCCTTTCCATTGGTTCTTATCCTAAAGCCCAATTAAATATTCTAGTTCATAATTGTTCTTGGATGACCCATCAATACTCCAAACATCTAGGCCCAACAGAAAAGGTCCAACTCAAAACCCAACACAATTAGGGTTTTCACATGAAATGACGATTAGGGTTAGGTGTTCTCACTTAACCCATTAAGGACTTAACCCATTAAGTCCATTATTCCACTAAGCCAACATACAATGGAATCGTCATAAGTCATAACTTCAGTTCACCGGTCCAAACGCGGGTCCCGACAATCCAAAACTAAGGTGTTGTTTGGTTCGTAGAATGTTGCTGAAGGAATTGGAATTGGAATTAGAAAAGGAATCTGTCAGGAATTTGAATCCAATTCCATATCCTGTTTGGTTGGCAAGAATTGGAATTGGAATTAATTCTAGATTATGTTTGGTTCGTAGGAATTGGAATTTGAATCCTTGTAAAATGACAAAGTTGTCCTTTTTGTCTATTTTGCTTAATTTTACATTCTTTTTCAACTCATATTTAAATATACATTATATAAATTATAAAAATAGTAAGAAAAGAACTTCAATCATATTGACAAACAAAACGGTCGAGATTGATATAATTGATGCATTAACAAGACCAAAATCACAGTACAATAGTAATTAAAGTTCAAGAGAACTTCAGAACTCAATTGTAACAACTCAATTGTAACAGAATTCTATCTTTCCCTTGTCACTCACATAGTTACCATCAAGAAACTTTTGGATATCCTTGTTCTTCATAACACATTTCTGCATATACAAAATCACAATCACCAAACTATTATCAAATGATAAAAACAGATAAAAAACAGAGAACATTAATAATTTGATATAGAAACTCCTATGTGTGAAAGAATAGCTGGTTAATTAGGGCTGAAGATCGAGAAACAAGCTCAATATCATTTCTATCTAGAATCAATTCCTCCTTAACCTTCTTGGATCTAACCACAGTCACTCCATCAAGCATATCCACCTTCCTCACCTATTTGTAAACAAAAAAGATATATCAACCAAACACATTAAAGAAAACCAGAGATAAACTAAGTCCGTATAAGGCAAATAACTCAAAACAAAAGAACATGCATCTAAACTAAAAACGAACTGTGTGCAACAGATTAGGCAAGAAACCACAGATTAGCATCGATTGAAGAGAAAGAAATGGATTTTTTTTTTCAGATTCTCATATCAACAGGGTCACAGTTGCGATTGAAGAAAAAGAAACCCTCTAGCGATGTCACAGTAGCCGTATTTGGGGTCAAAAGGGGTTGTTTAGATCGAATGTAAGATGCGATTAAAGAGAGAGGGAGATGGAGATAGAGAGATACACACACACACACACACACACAGAGAGAGAGAGAGAAAAAAATCACCTGTGATGAAGCTCGTCGGACGATGCCTATGACGAAGTGGAGAAGACGCAGTGCAAAAGAAAGGTTGTCGGCTGCACGCAAATGAGATGAATACGATAGGTTTACCTGATGAAGCATGTTTAGCGAGGGCAAAATCGTAATCTGCTACTTTCCATGTTATGAAGGAATTAATTCCATTAAGATGGTGAAGGAATGAACTTTCCTTCATTTGAAGGAAAAATATTTCATTTAGGATTCCTTTTCCTTCCCTTAAAGCTCAACCAAACACGTGATTTCGAGGGAATTGGAATCCTTTTCTCTCGAATTCCATTCCATTCCTGCCAAACAAACAGCCCCTAACATTTCCCAAAATTAGGGTTTTCTAAACCCTAATTAGGGTTTTCTAAACCCTAATTAGGGTTTCTAACCCAAGCATATGCCAATTAGTCAAACGGTTAGGCTTTTAGGTCAATTAGGGATTTATTTGGTCGAGCACCACCCACTGCCACCTCGGGCGGTGGTGATCGACGGCGGCACACGGCGGTGGTGGTGGTTTTTCCTTCAATCCTTCCGCCAAAAATGTTTAAACAAGTCTCATTCTACTAAACATACTCATAACATCACAACATACACACACAACCACCACCATACGGCGGCTGGTGGTGGTGAAGAGGTGGCAGCCACCACCTCACGGTGGTGGCAGTGGATTTCCGGCCAAAAAAAGAACACACACACAATCGTTAGACTTTTAGCAGCAACACACGACACTAATACACATTAGAAACGCAGAAACACACCCGTCATGGTTGCCCTCGAGGTGGCAGCGGCGGTCGGAGCAGCAGCAACATCACACCACAACTGCTTGGAGTGGCGGCGTTCGACGACCCTAACGACACCGACGACGTGGCTGAAGGCGAAACAGGAGAAGAAGAAGAGAGGGAACGTCCGAGAGCGACATCAACATTTCCCCAATGTTGGTCTTCGACGAAACTCGTTGTCGTCGGCAGCCGCTACGGTGGTATCGGCCTGGTGGTTTGCGAACTCGACTTTGTCGGTAACCGAAGCAGCGGTGGTTCAAGCTATGGCGTGGAGATGACGGATGAGAAGGCCCGAAGAAGATGGTGGCGGCTGGGAAGGGATGTGCTAGGGTTTCGGGTGCTAACCTTAAGACGGGAAAGGAGGGTCACCGGGTATATCCCGTGATCTTTAAAACTTTAATTCGTGTATCCATTATCAGTCCCTCCCCTACAATATTTGTTTTCAATTTAAATCCAAAACTTACACTTTAGCCCTTGCCTCCATAAAATATTTTCAAATTTAATCCAATATTTACCATTCATCCCCTCTCTGCAAGATTTTATTTCAATTTAAATCCAGAATTTACCAAACCACCATCAACCTCCAAAAATTCTTTACAGAGTAATCCGGATATTACATTTTAACCCCCAACAACAACGCCTTTCTAACTTATTCCGCAATTAGGGCTACTATTAATTTATTAATTTTATATATTTATTTATTTAATAAACGGGATGTTATAGTTTGACAAAACGCTCCGTTTTTTACAAAAAAGTCCTGTTTGGCACTACAACTTCTAGCGTATAGTTTAAACAAAATGCTCCAAATCCAAATGCTACTTCACGTAGCGTTTAACAAACCGCTACCAGCTACAAGCTATCTGCTACCAACTAGTTTGGCCAAAGAAACCCTAAGTTTAGAGACCAAAATCACAACTAAACCTTAAGTCAAATATTACTTTTGGAAGTTGAAACTTTACACATTAGCCAATTAAAGAAAACGTACTGCAAACAACATGACATTTTTCAAATTTTACATCTTAAAAATTATAATCATTTAAATAAAACATGATAAAGGAAGAAATAGATCGGATTGAATTCTTTTATTATAATGTTTGGCTTCATGTATAACTGTATATAAATGTACATCCTTACCATCAATTTAAGATTTAGAAACCCACGAGAAACACAAAAGGGTTTAAAGGAAAACGAAAGAAAAAGCAGCACTTGAAGATATGCATTAGGAAAAAGTGATTTCCAACTTTCATTTGAATTAACAAACTTACTTATTTGGCAAGGCAAACACATGTGGACTCTGACAAAATTTTGTACAACAAATATTCAAATTAGCAATTATTTTAACAATCGTATATGAATTAAGTATGACCATATCATAGAAAGTATATAAAAACTATTTACACGATAAATGTGGCTGTTTAAACCATCATATTAATAATCAAGACCTCTTATAAATACTACTCGATATAATACCCTGAGACAAAAAATGGCTACCCCATCTTCTCATTCTTTCCCAATGAGACTACCTCCACTGATTTCTTCTTCTTCTTCTTTAGCAACCTCCATGAAATTCAAAACCCTGGTTCACAACTTCATCTTCTCCCACCTATGTCTGTTCACTCGTACCTACACCAAGGCTAAATCCATTGTCATTAACCTCTTCAAAGAAACTCATCTGAACAATATCAAATTCTTGGATCCCTTCATCTTGAAAAGAAACAAAAACAAAAACAAAAACAAGGTTTATTTTGGATCATTTAGGTTGCATTACAACTGGTGTTCATCTCATGTAGTCCCAGTGACATCACTCGAGATGCAAGATGCGTTTAACAACCATGTTTATTATGATTCCACATGGCGCTCCTATGTTGATCATGAGATGGTGTTAGAGTCACAGCTCACAGGGTACCTCCATTGGCTCGAAGAGAAGAACAAAGGTGATGGTGGTTGTGATCAGATTAATGAGATCGATCGTCTTGCTGATAAATTCATAGCAAATGGCCACGAGAAGTTTATGTTGGAAAAGCAGGAGTCATACAGGAGATTTCAAGAAATGATGGCGAGAAGTGTGTGAATTACTCAAAGGTTTGTTTTGGTCGCTTTATAATAGGGTCGTTTTGTTTTTGTTATTACTTATGAGTGTTTGGTGGCATAACAATCAAAGGAATTTATGGTTTTGGAAAAGTTGGTTTGATTCATGATTGGATTTTAGAGGGACTTGTTTGGGAATTATCAACTACTTGTATTTTGAATGTTTATAAGTTGGACAGATTTGATTGTATAGTCATTTTCCTTCAAATTTTCGATGTTGGCAACTTTTGGAAACTTTATGATGCAATGTTAGAGAAAAAGAAACTGTCGGGAAACAAATAAAAAAGTACAAGAAATGTTTTCTCTTTCACATTATGGATTCTTATATATTACATTGAACAAAGTTCATATAACGATCAAATTTAGAAATTAAAAGAAATGACAAAAATAATCTATCCTCAGTTCATGAAAACAAATCTAAAATGGAAAAAGTATTTAATAAAATGCAGTTACATAATTGAGAAGTGTGTTAGATTAATTGATTTATTTGATTAAACAAAGATATAAATTTGATTTTGCACATGTTGCATTGTGGTTAGTTGGATCTATTTATGAACATGGACAACATGCATGAACATGGACAACATGCATGTATATATAACACTAATCACACACACAAACACACACACATATATATATATATATATATATATATATATATATATATATATATATATATATATATATATATATATATATACTAGTGGTGTACCCGCACAAAGCGGCGGCATCAAATAGTTTTTTTTGCCGATAAGTTTTTTCTTTCGAAAACATGTTATGTTCCAAAGAATACACAATATATTGGAAAATATCATTTACCATTGGTTTTTTAATTCTCTCCAAAAATCGAAACTCCAACACTTTCAAAGCAATATATATTGAACCTCCAAATTGTCAAACTTAAAATAATTCATTGTGAATGTTTTCTTTTTTATGATTAGTTATTTATATTCTCATGTAATCCGTACAATGCAATAACGACAGATAATTAAATTTCTGCACATAGTTTCGTTTCGATTATGTTGAATTTTTTCGTTTTGTTTAACCAAACATGTAAAATATTTGGTTTTGCTGGTTTGGTTACTACTCATGATTTCTATTGTGAACTGTAACCGAAAAACATATATTTATATATTTTATTTTATTTTATTTTGGTGGTTCGTTTCAATTTTCAGTTTAAATATCTGATGGAATGACAAAACTAAAATGTTTCTCTTTTTCAATTAAAATGTCTTTTATCAAAAAACTATTTCATTTTTTCGGTTAAAACATCGTCTAACAAAAAGTATATCGTTTTTGGGTTTTTTTCCATAAAATACCTTATATTTTGACTATTTTTTATTTTTAGATCTAAAAAAATTCTTTTTCAAAAAAAAACAAATTTTTTACCGGTTACTTGTTATTTTAAACCCCAACATGTTAAGGGAATTTGAGTTTTTTTTTTGTTTAATAAAAAACCTTATATTTTGCGTTTTTTTCGTGTTAGACCTAGAACGTTTTTTCAAAATAAACCAAATTTTAACTTGTCCCGAGGTTGAAGGTACACATACTGGTTTTGAACCGGTTTTGGTTTTTTTAAAGTCTGTTTAAAAGAAACCGTATGTCCAGACCGGTTTTGGTTACAAGTGGTTTGGGTTTTTTGCTTTTAAGTTAAATTGCGTTAAAAACTCATGTTTTCGGTAAAAATCGGTCCAGTTCGGGTATAATAGAAAAGTTGGAAAAAAAATCTGATTTCAAATATTTTTTAAAACTTAATACTAACTGGCGGTTCAGTTTTTTCCTTCGGTTAAAAAAATCAATTTGAAATGTATAAAAGTTGGTATGTTGGGTGTTATTCAAATAAATCCATAAATAAATACAAAAAATTGTGTTATGATTCTCACAAACTCACTATCATCTTACGTTTTGTAAAGCGATAATTTTGAAAATTTAAGACAAAAAATACACATGGCAAAATTACTTTGTAAACTTTTCGTTATAATAATACCAGATCAACAATATAAATTAGGTCCCTTACAAAATTTGTTGAATATTTTGGTCCATAAATTTTTTTTACAACCTTATGTGTTGAATATTTCATATGAAAATTCTTAATCTCTAGCTCACACTCACTTTGATTCATTCAAAATAAGACTTTAAACTCAAGCTTGAAGGTGTAGTCATTTGGATAAAAGGTTTCATGTATATCGGCACCTAAAAGTATAAATTTCAATGTTAAAAAAAGGGAAAATGGTTAGAATTTTCCAAATTTCAAAAAGATGAAAAAATCTCAATAAGATACCTTGACATTTGATTTTTTTTAATAGCATGTCGTCACCATTGCCTCTTTAAAAATTGTTGCAATCAATTATGAATAATCAACTAAAAAGAAAGGTTTCCCCCTTGTTTAAGAGTAACAATGTCCCTACAATCCGTCGGTTGAAACGAATGTTTCCCAATCACATTTGGTCTTTGAGAACCTGAGCCATTTGACTTTTCAAACACATACATACACAACAAAAGGAACTTGTTGGAGTAAAAGAGAAAAGACTAAGTATATTCACTTATAGCATTGTGCAATGCCATAAAGGGTACCTTGACATAGAAATATAGAAATATGTTAAACAGAGCATGTGTTTTCAATATACTAAAAATTGAATTGAGTTCCTTCACTTTTGACTTCATCTCTTCAACATACTTTCCTAATCCCAACACTTCCACACCATTCAACTGGATATGTTCTTCATTCTTTTTATAAATCTCATTGCTACGTTTTACAGCTTCTTTCATCTTTATAAATTCTTCCTTTCTAGCTGCTTTTACATTTTACTCATATGCTTCAACACATCCCAGCACATCCCAAGTAGTGGTCAAACAAAAATGCAAATCACTCGAATAAATCAAAAAAATGAAATAATAGTGAGACAAAATTACAAACCCTGTGAGTATTTGAGAAAGAAACCATGTTTTTCAATTAAGCTATAACACAAATATACATCAGGTATAATCAAATTTGAAACTAATTTATACCTGAGTTTTGACCACTATGTTTTGGCATATGACTTTATTTTATTGACGGTAGCTACTCCTACTTTATCGGTTAAAACTCCAAGATCAATTCATGAACCAAAATAGTAAAATTGAAACTATAAAAAGAGGTGGAGTCCATATGAGAAAACGAAGATGATGGCGATTTCTAAAAAAACAAATAAAAAAACATAGATATCTAACAAATAAACTTTAGATGTCAATAGAGTTAAATAAAATGAAAAGTTTAAAACTTGAAGCTTAACATACAACTTTAGACCTTCCAGCTCCATAAAGAACAACCAAAAAACCTATAAAAGAAAAATCAAGATCTGCAAAAAAAAAATCAGAATTGTATAGTTTCTTGTAGAAAAAAACCTAAAATAAAAAATATGAACATGTTCTTCTTGTTAGGATCGAGACACTTAACACACCACTCTAAACACAAGAACAACAAAGATTTAAGGTGGTTCAGTCTATTTCTGACCTACGTCCACACGAGGGTAACTAGGAGTGTATATATTTTTTCTGTGAAGTTTGTGATGGATCCATGCTTACAAATACAGAGCAATCTCATTTATAGAGATTGAAATTGAGAAAGTATATTAAAAAAGAAAAAAACATCCGGGTCTTCATCCACTACCTCAAAACATGGATGTCCCCTTTTTCTTTTTCCATGTTTTCTGGCTTTCCTTGTTTCCTGCCACTTCTTTTGACTAGCCCAATGGCTTCACACTCAACAATCTCCCACTTGAAGCCACGAAACAATCTTCACCATAGCTTCAACTGTGTATCTGTATTTCTGTAAAAACTTTTGATCTTGACTCCTTCCTAGTTACCCTGGCCTTCTCTTCAATTGACCTGAAGGCTAGTTGAAGCTTCCGTTAGCTCCAACACATCAGTCATGGCTAAGTCTGCCACTGACCTGTTCTCTGTCTCCACCAGCTCCCACTGAAATGAACTGCCCGATCCTGGAACATCCTGAGAACAAACGACACTCTCCATGTGAAACAGATAATCTGGAGAGACTTTTACAGATGGAATACTGGTTCTCTTAACCCACTGTGTTCTGGGTATTCTAGCTGAAACAAAGCCCATGCTCTCACTGCTATGAATGCCCTTGACTGGTTTTTCTGAACCGTTCCGAACACGTTCAACCTGAATCTGACCTGTGACTCTGGGTTTGCCATCTGCAAAGCAAACCTTCTTCTGTCCACGAGACTCTATGAACCGGATTTTGTTTTTCTTCTGAACTGGGACGGTTACTCCCTCAGATGGTAATCTGACCATATATAATGAACCCCTCTTATGTCCACGAGCTATCACAAGATTTCCTTTGACAACCTTCCACTGCACATTCCTGAACTTAACCTCGTGCCCCTGTTCATCCAACTGCCCAACAGAAATCAACTGTTTCTTCAGACTTGGAATTACCCGGACATCCTTCAAAGTCCATGGACCAACTGGAGTCTTCAAATCTAAGTCACCTATGCTCGTCACATCAAGAACCTCATCGTTCGCCAGTCTTACCTTACCAAAATCTCCTTCTTTCAGATTCTGCAGTGCTTCACGGCTGTGGGTAGCGTGAAATGAAGCACCCGAATCCATAACCCAGGAATCCACATTGCTCTCCACACTACAGATCAAAACATCATCATCTGAATGGTCTATTGCAGCGTTAACTTCTTTCTTGTCTTTTGGACATTGATTCCTGAAATGTCCAACCTCTTTATAGTTCCAACAAGTCACATCATTTCGAGTCCTCGACTTACTCCTTCTCCTGTTCCCGCTCCCACTACCTCTGTTATTTCTTCTACCTCTGACCGCATTCAATTGTTCACTTGATGATTCCCCGGAATTTCTTCGTCTGACGTCTTCGCCTAGAATTAAATCCCGAATTCCTTCAAAAGTGAGCCCTTTCGATCTTGTGGAACTAGTAACGGCTGTAACTGTTCCAGACCAACTGTCAGGTAATGA